AAAAAAAAAAAAAAAAAAAAAAAAAAAAAAAAAAAAAAAAAAAAAAAAGTGGCATAGGCAGGATTTGAACCGAGGCTGACTCAATCCCATGCTGTTAACTCCTAGAAAGTCAGCTGCCCCGTCCCCACTCCGCTTCTGATGTGGCACATCTGCCTTGCCTAGACACCCTCTGGAACTAAGCTTCTCATTGCGGGGTGGATTCCAACCCATTTCCAGGTCTCCAGCCCCCACACTCACTGTCGGCCCCTCAGTTCCCTGCACCCCCAGCTCCCACCCGAGGTACCTTGCTGTAGGGCTGGCTGCAAACAATTTTGATGCGGTCCCAGCGCTTCTCAGCTGCTGTTCGGACCAGCTTGTCAGGCCCAAACATGCGAACACGGCTGGGGTTTGAGCCACTGCGGCTCTCGGATGGGGACATGAAAGATGACATGACCAGAAGCACCTGGGTAGGAGAAGGCACAGTGACTGAGAACCAGAGCTGGTTGGTTTAGATTCCTCCCAGGGACCAGGCAAGAAGCAGGGGGCCCAAGGAGGCAGTGGGGGTCACTGAACTCCAGCTTGAGCCTCAACATTTCTAGACCCGTCTTTTTTATTTCTAGGCCTCAGAGGGGTTTTATTTTTAAATTTTAAAATTGTATTTGTTTGAGCAGGGCATTGTGTCACACGTCTGTGATCCCAGCACTCTGGAAGGCTGAAGCAGGAGGATCACAAGTTTGAGCCCAGCCTAGGCAACCTGGTGACTTAGAAAGACTCAAATGAATAAAAAATGGGCTGGGGATGTAGTTCAGCGGCACCACGCCTGCCTCACAAATGCAAGGTCCTGAGTTTGATCCCCAGTACCGGAAAAAATAAAAAATAAAAAATAAATAAAAAATGGGCTGGAGTTGTAGCTCAGTTAGAAGGCCCTGGCTTGAATGGCCATATACTATATAAATTTATTGCATGCTGGGGGCAGAACCAGGGCTTTCTAATGCTAGGCAAGTGTTCTACCACTGAGCCACATACCCTCAACCCCTTCATATATATAACTTGATGTGTAATATTTGTACACACTAATGGGGTACAGTACGGCATTTCAATACATGAATACAATGTGTAATGATCAGATCAAGGTAACTGGCATCCATCACTTCAGATATTTATACATTCATCATTTCTTTGCACTAAACTCTTAGAGTTTCAATCCACAATGTCCCCCAAAACTCTTGTGGTCAGAGGTGGGGTGTTTGGCAGATGGCTGGACGACTGGGGCTCTGATCCACAGATGAGATGATAATGTGATGATGGCTGGGCATGGTGGCGCATGCCTATAATCTCAGCACTTGGGAGGCTAAGGCAGGAGAATCACCATGAGTTCAAGGCCAGCCTGAACTACAGAAGAAGACCCTATCTCAAAAAACAGACAGATTATAATGCAGGCTGGGCATTTAGCTCAGTGGTGCTGTTGCCTGCCTTGTAAGCACAAGGTTCTCAGTTCAACCCCCAGTGCTACAAAAAATAATTATAATGGGATAGCATGATGGAAGGTGATGGAAATGCAGGAGATGGAGCTTAGCAGAAGAGAGCAGGTCGTGGAGGGGGTGACCTCAGGGACTACACCTTGTCCCCAGCCCTTTCCTCTCTGGCTCTTTTCCTCTCTGCTTCCCTACTGCCATGAGGGGAGCAACTCTACCCCAGCACACTGTTTTGCCTCACAGCAATGGAGCCGGCTGACCATGGGCAGAGACCTCCATCCTGTGAGCCAAGATCAATCTTTCCTCCCTTGAGTTGATTTTTTTTTCCATGTTGCTGAAAATGACAGACTTTCCTTATTTATGGCTGAATACTATTCCACCCCGTATCTATACAGCACTTTATTGAGTTGCCCACCGAAGGACGCTGCAGTTGGGTCTACATCTTGGCCGCTGTGGATGATGCTGTAGTATACATGATGTGCAGAGTCTCGGTGACATGCTGCTCTCACTCCCTGTGCATTCACACCCAGGAAGGGGGCTGCTGGGTCACATGTGAGTCCAAACGGATGTTTCTAACCTCCAGATCTATCGATCCTTTCCTAAAGTATTCCATGGAGTCCGATATCGCAGGGGGCTATGCAGCAGCGTCAATTATTAAGTGACTGCTTCTCCACTCGAAACCACCCCATGCTGGGCTCTGTGATGTGGGTAGGCCTGGCGTGGAGAACCACATCTCCACCAGCCAGCTGCGCCGTAGCGGGCTCTGCCACCAGGGGGAGAGAGAGAGAGGAGAGAGAGAGGAGAGAGAGGACAGAGAGAGGAGAGAGAGAGAGAGAGGAGAGAGAGAGGAGAGAGAGGACAGAGAGAGGAGAGAGAGAGAGAGAGAGGAGAGAGAGGAGAGGAGAGAGAGAGAGAGAGACAGAGAGAGAAAGAGAGAAGAGAGAGGAGAGAGAGAAAGAGAGAGAGACAGAGACAAAGAGAGAGAGAGAGAGAGAGACAGAGACAGAGACAGAGACAGAGAGAGAGAGAGAGAGAGA